CCCCACCTACTGATTATCTAAGCTTATTGCAAAATCCCTTGTGTTTAGTTTTGTGTTTTCAAAAGAGCTTAAAACTTTCATTCCTGTTCTTCATTGTTTCTAAGTTCACATCCCAAGCTTCAAGTGCAATCTCTCTTCTTACCATAGGGCTACTGTAAAGAGAGAGTTTTCCCTTCGATTACTACTGTTGTGAGCTTGATCTCGTGGAGATCGATTGTGAAGTTGTGAGATCTCGTGGAAATCGTTGTGTAGAAGAAGCTTCGGCTTCCAAACCAGTTGTGTAGTGGATTTCTCCTCGAGAGTGGGGAGCGGGGACGTAGGTCAGAGGACCGAACCTCGTGAACACATCGCGCGTCACTTGGATAGCTATCTCTTACCTTTCTTATTTGTTTTGGCTTTTAATCTTGTGGTGTATTGCTTGTCTTAATTTTATTGCACAATTATTACCTCATTACCCTATTCACCCCCCTCTAGGGTCCAACACTACCGACTTGGGTGTTTAAAGCTCCGTTTGAATACCATGACGTTTACTAAAAATGAAACATCATGTGTTTGGAAACCATAATTTTTTTGAGCTAAATCATCTTCAAACCAAAACACAACACTTATTTCAAAACACTTTGTAGGTGTTTTAAATTTGTTGTTTTGGTTTTAAGTTTGATGAGGTATTAGAGGTAATTAATACATAGTTATTATTGACATACTTATTATATTATATTACATTATACTATACTATATTATAGTTAATCTAATATATTAAAAGTATTTATTAAATAATATAAAAATATAATAATTAAGATATTTTATATAATAATATAATAAAATATTAAATACTAGTATTAATTTGTTGATAATATAATAATAAATAATAATAAATACAAATAAACTAATAAAAATAATAAAAAATTAATAATAATAAATAATACAATACTAATGATATAATAATATAATATACAATATTATAATAACAATTATATTATTAAATTTTTAATAAATAAATTGTGATAAATTAATAATTATAAAATATTATATAATATTAAAATATTTAAAAATAAAATAATAAAATAATAATATTATTATAATAATATATTGTATAGTAAATATAATATAATATATAAAATATTAATATATTATATAATAAATAAAATAATTTATTGCTAACAAATGTTAGTAAAAAAATAATATATTCATAATATAATATATTTGTTTTATCATATCATAAATTGTTATATATTATTAAAAGTAATTATTAAATTGTTGTAAATTAATAATTATAAAATGTTATATAATAGTAACATATTTAATAGAAAATAATAATATGAATAAATTATAATAATATACTATTGCCATATAAATGTAATATATATATATACATTTTAATATGTATTATATAATAATAATATAACATATTAGTAATTAAATAATTTTTAATACGAAATAATTTATTGCTAATAATCTTAGTGTAGAAGTAATAATATTCTAATATAATAATATTTAATTATATATCATCAAATTGTTAATATATTATTAAAGTATTATTAAATAAGCTCTAACATCATTAGTAACCATAATTATATTTATAATATTATATATTTATTAATATTAATAGTATACAGTAATAAATAATATTAACATTATTAATAATATTTATATTATATTAATAATAGTATATACTTATACTAATAATAAATAATCTTATTTAAAATATTATATAAATTATACAATAAAAAATTGATATACCAATAATATAATCTATTATTATTTAATATAATATGTAATAATTATAATATTAATATAAACATTAAACTAAAATATAGCATTATCATACATATAATATATTGTTTTATATATCATAAATTGTATATATATTATTAAAGTAATTATTAAATTGTTGTAAATTAATAATTATAAAATGTTACTATAATAGTAACATATTTAATAGCAAAATAATAATATATAATTATATAATATATATTGCATATAAATGTAATATATATATATACAATTTTAATATGTATTATATAATAATAATATAACATATTATAATTAAAATATTTTTAATACGAAATAATTTATTGCTAATAAATCCTTAGTGTAAAGTAATAATATTCTAATATATATAATATTTATTTATATCATAATTTGTTAATATATTATTAAAAGTATTATTAAATAAGCTCTAACATATTAGTAACATAATATATTTTATACATATTATATATTTATAATATTATAGTATACAGTATAACATAATATTAACATTATTAATAATATTATATTATATTAATAATAGTATAACTTATACTAATAATAAATATTCTTATTTTAAATATTATATAAATATACAATAAAAAATTGATATACCAAAATTAATCTATTATTATTTAATATATATGTAATAATTATAATATAATATAACACATTAAACTAAATATAGCATTATCATACATTTATTATATTTAAATTTTTATAATACTATAATAATATAAAGTAATATATTAAAGTATTTTATTTATAATAGTATTTTAATTATAATTATTTTAACATATATAATAATGTTTAATACTAATGTTTGTTACAGGTCACAAAACTAGTTGTTGACAAAAAACACTCAACATGGTATGAAACACTTAAAAGGGAGAACACAAATGCATGATGTTCTTTAACCACAACAAGAAAACACCATGTCTATCCAAAAAAGCCTAAGTATTTGCTTTTGGTTTATATCAAAAACATTTTAGAATCCTTATTCATCTTGATATTTAGGGTTGGGCGAAGGCCGAAGTTGACCCGCGGGCCTGACTGACCCACCCACATGAAGTCAAGACCCGGCTCGGCCCGTAATGGGCCCTGGTCCGACTTGGTTTGTGATATCACGCGGGTCACGCATCGGGCTGAGTCTAGTTCTGACCTGCTGACAAGATAAATTGACTGGCCCACCTTGTCCGGACCCGACCATGTGACCCAGCCTCGCTCGGACCGACCTGACCCCGCTCGGCCCTGCCTGACCCGAAAATTTAATTTTTTTAAAAATATAAATAATAATATACATAAATAAGAACAGCAGTAAGAAGGCCAGCAAGCTAGCAACTGGCTTGCTGGCAAGCGGCCCAAAAGGCCAGTGGCCTAGTAGGCCAGCAACAAAATTGTTGCTGGCCTTCTAGACACAACCTGAT